AGAAATATAAATAAAAAATTAATTTTAAATATTACAAAATATTTTTATTAACAACAACAATAATAAAAATTGTATTATTGTTATTACAATTAATAAAAATATAAATTAAAAAAGTACAAATATATTGAGAACACAAAAGGAAAAATAATTCAAATATATCTACTAGTGTCATCCTTTCTTTGCATACCCTTACCACTAGAAAGGCTCATCGATTACTCTGATAAAAACTCGATGTGGACAATTGACCTTATCACATAATTGACAATGATAGACTCTAAGTTCATTGAATGGTTCTCCATTCGGTGCATATTTTCCTTTAGTGCCTTATACACCTTAAGATTCTATAAAGGATCAACGCCTAACCTAGTGATTGGCAAGAGTCTTCGACTTCATTGTCTTAGGTTTATTGTATTAGTATCTAAGATCATTTCTTTAGTCGATTGAGAATCTTTGGCTAATGGGGTGTTCTATTTCTGAATCTCTTTTATCAAAATATTTGATAAAGAAGCTTTAGAAATAGAACACCACAAGAGCTGAAAAATCTCTGTCGACTAAAGGGTGATCTTACATGCTAACACTATGAGAACAAAGGGAATGAAATTGAAGACTCGTGACAATCATTACGTTAGGCATAGAAGAAGATGGAAACTAACCTTCTGTAAAAGTACTTAATCATAATCTTAAATGATGCCGATGTTTTACAAACTTCCAATTTTCATCTCCTTTGAAGTTTGTAGAGCACCATCCATCATCTAAGCTTATGATTTTTTCTATAGTCTTTGTCTGTTTTTCATTCAAAAATTTCATTAATGATCGCATTAATAAATTCTATGGACATAACCTACTTACTCGAGATTATTTAAAAAAATAGGAAATTCGTAAAAGCACGAAATCCTTATTTGTTAAATAATCTCAAGTAAGTCAGTCAAGTCGATTGAATCTACAAGTGATAGATTGTGTTTTACTCCTTGAACCCAAATTTATATATTCCATGGATCTAACCAACCTACCCAATGCTAACAACTCATATAATATATGAAATATTTCAATGTCAATAGCTCGTATCTTCTATGAACTTGACCAACCTACTCAAAATTAATTCAATTTGAGGTTGGTTGGTTAGGTCCATAAGATACACAAGTGACAAATTTTGCTACACTCTTTAAACCTAAATTTTTCAAATGATATGCCTATTATAAAAAAAAAAGAATGACCATATTAAGTAAACATAAATTCATTCAAGGAAATCAATTATTTAAACCTAGATTTATAGGCTTCACTTAACTCAAAATGACAATAGGTACCATATTTATAACAAAACTCAAGCATATCATCAATGTAAATTTGTCCTAAGTATTATCAATGTAATATCATCAACTTAAGCATATTATAGATGCAAATTTCTTCCAAGTATCATCAATGAAATATCATCAACTCAAACATATCATCACCTTTGTTAAACGGGCAATAGTTCATTAATCTTATGGAAGCAAACAACAATATAATAGATGAATCAAAAATATAGTAGCAAAAAAATTAATAAATAAATAAACCTTGACATAAAATTGGGGTATAGTGGTTGTTTCAAATTCGCAAACATTTTTGTAACTTTATTCAACTTATCAACAATCATCTGGGGCAACACCAAATTCTTAAAAGCATTACAAAGAGCTTGACATATGATCAAACACAAAAAGGTATAAAAAACCATAACCTCGTATCAATAATATATGATCTCCCTATTAAACCAAATCTACAATTTTCTTTCATGATCAACATGTTTAAATAAAACCCAATTCCTAACCAAGCCCATAAAGTCATTCATCTTTCAAATAGAAGAATACCAAAGACCTTAAATAAGAACATCTTTTCCAATCAAACATCAATCATAAGTATGTTGAATGCTAAAATCAACACAATTACATCAATAATTCAACTTTTCCTTAAGATCTAAGAAAAACCAAATCAATAAACAGAAAGACTAACTAAATATGTTTTTAAAGGGAACGGGAAAGAGTTTTCTAAGAAAAGACACCTCTTAAAACTCCAAGACACATTAAAAAAAATCAAGAAAAAAATGATATAATGATTAAACACAACAAACCAGAAAGACAAGGACAAAATGAAAATGGGTTTTAGCTTAGAAATTGAAACAAACCTTGCCTAAGAACTTAAAAGGCTTTTTCCAATCAAACATGATTAGAAAATCCTAAGAGGCTATGTTTACGATGAGGAGGTTGGGTCAACGACAAGGAGGCTAAGAGGATTAGTTTAAAGTGAAAACAGTGTTGGGGGCGAGTGGGGAGAGAGAAAAAAAAGAGAGAGAAAAGAAAGAATCAACTAGGGTTTTTAGGGGAGAACGCTCGAAAAGGCAACTTATATATTAAAATTACCAACAAAATATTCTGTCAGTAATTAAAACCTTAAAATAAATTACCCAAAATTATCTAAACTATGATACTAATGGTGGTTCCAACGATAAATTTGTTGGTATTTAAAAAGAATGGTGATTGATATATTTGTCAAGAATCTGGTCGTTGAATTTCATCTGTGATCATCAATATCGACGAACAAAAATGGTTGACAATCTTCACACCATCCATGTTTAGTACACGACATCAAATTATTGACAACTTATCGATGGAACAAATCTCGTTGATAATACATCAGTATTTCGTTGGTTTTTCCCACAATGAATTTGGTAGAAAAACAGTCAGTAATCCATTGGAAATGCTGATGGAATTTGTTCTGTCAACAAAAGCCCTATGTTTGGTAATGTAGGGGCTCGCCTCTTTCGACATAAAGAGGTAGAATAGTCCACACAACCTTTTAAAAAAATGCTACTAGTCTCAAACTCTTTAGTTAGATGATGTATTTTAAATTTAACTGTAGACAAAGTGAATATTCAATTTCAATGATGTAGATAAAATGAACATTTAAATTTAAATGTCTTAACCTCTATTTTGAATTTAAATCGTAAATAAGCTAAATAAAAAGCTATTCATGCTTAAAAATGCTCCATATGTTTTTATATAAAGCACATCAAAGTTTGAGAATAAAAGCCCATTCTCTCAAGCTTTCCTTTCATTCTCTTCATTTTTTTCTTTCGTTACTTATTGTGTTGCTTTAAGAACTTTGAGTTCCCAATTGGTTTTGATTTGACTTACTCATTTCAACAAGAATAGCTAAAGGTTGCACGACGTGTGCTTAGTTACTTAATTCATGATAATCACTTTATTAATGTGTCATTATTCTCTCATCAAAAGGTTAACTTGATGGAGTGTGCAATGTCTACGCTTATAAATCTCGTAAGATCTTTTTATTTGCCTAATGTGAGATTAAAGCGCCTTGTGTACTTCTTTTTGAAGCATTTAGCATGACATTTGTGTACAGCTAATTCGGGTTAGCTCTAGTTTCTAATTATATACAAAAAAAAATTATTAATTTTACTTGTTGATTAAATTAAAATGAGTGAAATGTCATAAAAATTTACATTAGCAAATTAATTAGTGGTTGTATGTTTTGTTGAAGATAAGCTCACTACTAGTATATCATATTTAATAAAAATGATTTCTTTTGCTGAGAGTAAAAATTATCCTAGTAATTCTTTTTTTATAAATAAAGTCTTAATGAATATTATTTTCTTCTAACCAAACAAATAGTTGAACTGATTCTTTAAATAGAAAGGTACATATACTTAGTATTAAGTAAAATGCTTTAATACATCTTAATGAGTATCTAAAACCACATGTTAAGAATACCATTTTATATTTAACATATTGAATTTTTTTAAAATATTATGAAAATTAATAAACTTAAGACAAGCATTAACAAGATCTCACAAGAAAATATAGCTAATGACTGAAGTTCAAAAGAAAAGAAAACCCTTTTACCTACCTAAAACTGGAGTCGATATGCCAATTCTTTTTAGCAAAATAAAATTAGGTAATTTTCCACGAAAACTAATTATCCTATCTTTCCCCTTTTTTTTTTTTACTAAATTTGAAAAATAAAGAAAAGGGTGGAATGGTTGCAGTGGATCATGTCAGCATGTGATCATAACTGCAAGTCTGCAACGGTAAATTGGAGTTGGTGAATGGCACTGGAAATTGAAACAGCCTTTAATTTTGACCGTTGTGATTAAAAGTGAATAAATGGAAGCCGTTGGATGGCGATTGGATAGGAAGCCGTAGTGTTTGGGGTCCAGCTAAAAGCAAAGTGTAACCGAAAAATGGCCCCTCACTTGAACCAGCTCTTAAATTTTGTATTAGTAATCAAAAAGTCTTTTAATTACTCTCATCATACGCTTGTCCATGGATTCCTCTTTTTGTCTTGTCATTTAATTTCTATCCATCTAATTTCAACCATGACTGAGAGCACAGCACAACAATGAATAACTTTGTGTTTCTTTAATAATGTTTGATTCACTGCTGCAATGAATAGAAATAAATGCAACAGTGTCATCAATGATTAACAAAATTTATTTCTAAAACATTTCAATTATGATAATTTTTTCTATTGTTAATTTATTTCCAATTAGATTTTACAGAGAATTATTATTTTTTATATATTTTTTAATTTTAGTACACGCCTGTTGTTAATTTTTTATCAAAATTATGTAAAATTTATATGTTAATAAATGAGATTAATTTATATTAAAAAATATATTTAAAAAATAAATACTGTTGGTGTATTTATATATTAAAATTGTTTCTAAACAAAAAGTTAGATGGGATTCATGCATTATTTAGATGTAAATTATTTAACGGACCTCCACGTCATCAACCTGGGTGCGTTGATTACACATGGTACTATATAGATTTGACGCTAATTATGAAGTCACACGATTGGTTTTAGCGAATATCAAGAAAGATCTCCTTCAATTAACGACTGTTGAAAAAGTAGATGCATTTTAAAAGTGTATAAGAGGAAAACAGAGGATCAAAACCCCTTTTCACGGTCAGAACAGAGCATTTAAATAAATCCTTCCATCTCTAACATTTAATTCCCCGCCTAAACCACTTCTTAATCTCGCTCTCTCTCTCTCTCTCTCTCTCTCTCTCTCATTTCCTCTGATATTTTAGGGTTCACCGGAAGCTTGTATGAGCTAGGAACCACCAGATCGCTCTCTCTCATCTCAATGGGAAGCAACGGCAACGGTAACTACCACGTAATGCGCAACGGCGACGTAGATAGGGAGCCGTTTAAGCCGGCGGTGTTGAGCTCGTCGGCTTCCTTCAAGGCTAGAAAGGCCAAGCCAAACGCGGCCTCGCCGAGAGCCGATGTTGATGACATCATCACTCTCCTACATGGCTCCGATCCCGTTCGCGTTGAACTTAACCGCCTCGAGAACGAAGTCCGAGGTTCCTCATTCTTTTTCTTTTTTTTTTCCTCTGTTACTTTTTCTGCATTTTGGTTAATCAGCTTAATTGTTCGTTTCTTTTATATATATATATATATATATATATATTTAAAACCTCTTTTTTATTTTTTAAATTTGAGATTTTTCTTCCTTTGTTCGTCTTTCTCATTATTAGTTTCAAAGAAATAGGGATAAGAATAGCAATTAAAATGTGTTGGCTTTTAAACCTTTCAAAAAAAAATGTGTTGTTATTTAAGTTTTCATAAAATTACAGATTCAACTTTAAGATTGAAGTAGTAAAGGCATTTAATATAATGTTAAAAAAAAGGAGTTGCTTACTTGTTTTTGCAGATAAAGATAGGGAATTGGCAGATGCCAATGCAGAAATAAAGTCGCTGAGGAATTCGGAACGTTTCAAAGAAAAGGCAGTTGAAGAGGTAAACTGTTGTTCATAATTATATCAACATGCCTTATAAACGGGATTTGATACTTTCTGAAAATGTATGTGAATTTTAGATCGCTTTGTTTGGATGAGACAGGATATCTTTGAATTCTCGGTCCAATTTTGCTTCACTTTAAGTTATCATGGTTTCATTCGGTAGCTTGTTGGTTACTACAAGTTATCTTTCTAGGGGACATATTTTACATTCTAATCCTATAACTTTGAAATGTGATGCTGTGCTGCTTTTTTGATCGCTGATTAAATATGCACTATGGAAATGGCTTGAATTGCAATGCAATGTTAAGTAGAATAATTCTCTTTGCAATTTCTTGCCCAGTATTCATCTTGGTTTAGCTTTAATTAGAGTATTTTTTTAACATAATTAAGTAATGCATATCTGTTTTTGTCATTTGATATAACTTATATAATCTATAAAATAAGAAGTTTGCTATTTATTGGTAATTAAATTTTGATGGCTTGTGCTAAGTAATAATGGTGAATTCAATAAACCAATGTTAATGGTAGTTGAATTACTGTAATACTTATCATCCCATTCTCAATATGTTGATCTAATGATCAAAATTTTGATCATAGTGGAAAAAATTGATCATATTTTGCAATGTCTAGGTATATCTCAAATGACTTGTAATTCTTGTTTGTCAAAAAATATGTTTACTAGAAATCTAATGTAATGTGATCAGTAACCATTAACCATACATCAAATTTTTTACCGGATGAATGAGTAGCTGATTACCGAAAAGGTAAGTTTTGAACAAGAAGTCTTATATCAGCTCAACTTGCCTACCACTGAAATCTCGGGATGGGGGATGGGGGGTGCGGTTTTAAGCTCAGGCATTTTATCAAGATTCCTTACTATTTCCTCTTGTGCAGCTAACAGATGAGCTTAAAAAAGTTGATGAAAAGCTTAAAGTAACCGAAGCTCTTCTAGAAAGCAAGGTATACTGTATATTGTTATTTAGATGCCTCATTGAAGTAGTTCTTCTGTTGTTGAGATTGAGAAAATTTCTGTATGGTTACCGCAACGAGTATCTTATAATTTGCAGAACCTTGAGATCAAGAAAATAAATGATGAAAAGAAAGCAGCTTTGGCTGCACAATTTGCTGCAGAAGCTACACTTCGAAGAGTCCATGCTGCTCAGAAAGATGATGAAATGCCTCCCATTGAGGCCATCATCACTCCACTAGAGGCTGAACTTAAGCTCGCCCGGCTGGAGGTAGATTTTAACATATTCATTGTACTATTGTACTTTTTCATGTTCATGATTTTTAACTGAAGAACTTGTGTCTTAGAACATTAGCATCATAATTGTGATTCTATGACAGCTTTTTAGGGTAGGAGATATGGACATATCTCTTGAGAAAATTTTTCTGTTGTGATAAAGAGTGACAAGGATCAGTTTTCTTTTTTCAGGCAGCGAAATTGCAAGAGGACAATAGAGCTCTTGATCGGCTCACAAAATCAAAGGAGGCTGCTCTACTTGAGGCTGAGAGAACTGTCCAGATTGCTTTGGCAAAAGCATCCTTGGTTGATGATTTGCAAAACAAGAACCAAGAGCTAATGAAGCAGATTGAAATATGCCAAGTTTGTTTGTCTTTCTAAATTTTTGTTTTGCACACTATTCATGTAACTCAAATGTTATGTTAGTGGCTGTAGCAAACTAAATAAGTTGTCCAATTTGACATGTCAGGAGGAGAACAAGATTTTGGACAAAATGCATCGACAAAAGGTTGCGGAGGTTGAAAAGCTAACCCAAACAGTTCGGGAACTTGAGGAGGCAGTACTGGCTGGAGGGGCTGCTGCTAATGCTGTACGGGAATACCAGCGAAAAGTGCAAGAGATGAACGTAATGACCATTATTCCTGTAACACAAACTTTTGTAAAAGAGCTTATGGAGTTGTAGTTGTTCTATCAGAAAACTCGAAATTTCTTCTGACTTTCAAGTTTGAACAGGAGGAGAAGAAAACTCTGGAGCGAGAAGTGGCTCGTGCGAAGGTTAGTGCAAACAGGGTTGCCACTGTGGTTGCAAATGAGTGGAAAGATGGAAATGACAAAGTAATGCCCGTAAAGCAGTGGCTTGAGGAAAGAAGGTTTTTTCAGGTATGTTCCAATTTCTGCATGAATTTTGTATGTTTGGGATTTCTTTTGTCTTCCTGGTTTGATCTAAAAGGTTCTTTCCTTCTGGAAATTCAAAGAAAGTTAATCACAGACTTGGTATTTGAACCATACTTCTGCATGAGACTAGGTAGCATGTCAGCATGAGACAAAAACATTTGCATGATTAATTTCTTGAATATTTATAGGGCAGTTACTTGCCTGTCAGCATGAGACAAAAACATTTGGATGATTAATAGATGTTAATGATGACCCCAGCATATGAAGGAAAGGTTCGTAGATGATTAACCCATGTTCATGTCAAATCTCTTGTAAGCTTTTTAAAAGGAAGGCTATTATATTGTTTGATTACAATCTTAATTAACTTTCCAAATTGTCTAGGGAGAAATGCAACAGCTTCGAGATAAACTAGCTGTAGCAGAGCGCGCTGCTAAAGCAGAAGCACATCTTAAAGTAAGTTAACCAGTTTTGCTTCTTATCACTGCTTCTTTTAATCCAATTTAATGTGTCCCTTTTTAATAGTTCTTTAATCAATTTTGCTCAGGAAAAATACCAACTTCGGTTCAAGGTTTTGGAAGAAAGGCTTAAAGCATCTACTGGTAATTCCCGCACTGCCTCTGAAGGAAAAAGTGTGAGCAATGGGCAGTCACGGCGTCAGTCTCTTGGTGGAGCAGATAGTTTCTTGAAATCATCCTCCAACATCTATTTATCAAGGAGATCACTGAATCCACAATCTGGGTCCCTTCGATCCAACAGTGCTAGTGCCTTATTGAGGAACACGAAGATGTCATCTAGATCATTTGATGGGGGTAGTAGATCCCTTGATAGAGTTAAGATGATTCCAGATGCGGCTGAGAAGAATAGGATGCTCCCCAGCAATGGTGATCAGATTCTAGGTAGTGAAATAGTAAGGTGTAAGGAAAGTGCAAATGGAATCACTGAAAAATCAAAAGCAGAGCATGAAGATTATGTTTCAGGGATGTTATATGATACGTTACAGAAGGAAGTTATAACTCTGAGGAAGGCTTGCCATGAAAAAGACCAAAGCTTAAAAGACAAAGATGATGCTATAGAGGTTAGATAAGAGGCCTACCTGTTTGACAGTTGCTGTTTATGTTATTCCTTTTTCCTTATTTATTCAAGTTCAATCTGAATAAACAGATGCTGGCTAAGAAGGTTGAAACGTTAAACAAAGCAATGGATGTTGAAGCCAAAAAAATGCGTAGAGAAGTATCTGCAATGGAGAAAGAAGTTGCTGCTATGAAGGTTGGCAAAGAGCATGATCAAAGGACAAGACGCATTAGTGCTCCCAGGGGGGCCGTAAATGGCTCTCAGTTACTGTCTACTAGGTGATTCTCCCCATCCTAATCACTGTTACATTTTAACTAAATGTGTATTTAGGGGAAGTCAAATGAGAAAACGTAATGCTGAAATGTGTCAAATTATTCTGTTTCTTTTCCCGTTGGGGTGAGGGAGAGAAAAGTGTTTGGGGTGGTTAAGATCATGTTGTGAAAATTGCCCAAGAAACAATAAAGATAAAACTCAGAGAAATCAAGCAAACAGAAAAACACAAGAATTTACGTGGTTCGGCCTCTTGCCTACGTCCACGGAGTGAAACTATTCTTATATTATTGAGAAATTAAAGTACAATAAATTGACCTCTATGGCTTCCCAAACCAACCCAAGATCCCTTGCACACTCTTTCTCAATAACCTCCCAAGAACACTCACCCAAACCACTCTAGCTCTACCTAGAGCGAAAGACAGAGTTACAAAGTGTTACTTCTCTAAAGCTCTCAAAGCACTGTTCCAATTCTAAAGCCTAGAGATAAACTTTTATAGTATAAAAGTTCAAAATAGAATGTGATTAGGACTCTATGTGGAATAAGAAGTTTAAAACTATACAACTACTTAATGTTGTACATAAATTAAAATTTTAATCAAATAGGATATAGAATTCTAGTCAACCTAAAACTCAACAGATCAAATATATGAAATTGTTGATTTAGTGGGCGTAAAGGGTAATGTAAGAAAATAAAGTGTTAGATGTGCTAATTTTTCGAAAAGCTATGCTTTTACTGGGAGAATTTTTTTAAGAAAAGAAAAGCTGGGAATATAGTATACTTTTCTAAATTTTATGAGGGCTAATCCTTTTACATAAATTTATATGTATGAATAGTCTTAAATTAAGAAGGGGTCTTCTAATTGATTCACTAGATAGTTGGGGTGAACACATTTTGCATAAATTTGAGAGTTAATGGCTTTTGATTGGTCATGATTAACACATACGAACAAACAAAACACCTATAACTTGTGCTATCTGGGTGTTTTGCTGTATTTTCCAGGAATGCAAGAAGCTAATAGACAACTGGCATCAGGGTGTTACAATTACCAGGAAATGATGCCATTGAAGGTTTTGTCTTGATTTTCACTTCCCCTCATCTGGTTTATTATCTCCTGTCTGTCCCTGTAAAGAACTGACTCTAGGTTTACCAGAAGTCATCACATAAATGTATATTTTTGTAATAAATATTATTTACAGTTCATTATAGTCAGGTGTGCCGTTAAAATGGGTGTGTGTATGAAGTTTGGCATGTGAAGTCAAAGGCATAAAAGAAACTCAAAAATTATAATTATATTTGGGTATGGAGTCTGTCTGTATTTAACTACTGGTACACTGGCTGTTATTGAAGACTACGGAAAAGCAATGTGCTGTAAACTGCGTGATTTGCTTAATGAGAATTGTTTATGGTCATATTTATGAATTCCATTGCCTAGAACTAAAGCTGCATGAGTCTACATGTGATTCTCAAATTTTCTGCATCATTCAATTACAAAGATATAGAATTATGAATTATAATACACTTGATTACCATCCATTCTTTAAATCTAAATACATTTTATATTGGTAATATGTACAAAAAATAGTTTCTAAGTTGTATATATATATATATGAAAAAAAAATTATGATGCAATATCATACTTAATTCATTTAGGTAATATTTGATATCAATTATTCATAATGAGATGAAACACTTTAACTCGTAAAATCAATTTTTCCCATTATTGAACGATCATAATGTTTATTCTTTTGATTCAACACCTGAAATTAAAAAAAAAAAAGCACTAAGATCTAAGGGGTCCATAACAAAAGTCCCAGTGTTAATGGATATTTGCAACACCCCACCTGAAAACATAGAGTTCAGATACTTTATATTCGATTATGGGGTGGATTCGGGTAAAATTTTTAATATTCGATTTGAGTTTAGATAGGTTTCAAAAGTTTGTAATTTGTAAAATTCAAATTTTTACCTTCTTTAAGTTCATTTTTTATAGGGTTTTTAGTTATTTAAGTTATCCTTTGAGTTATTTAATTGCATATTTAGCAAATTGAGATAATTAACAGATAATGTTATATTATTAGGATTTGATTTTGAATAATATTTTATAATTTTATTCTAATGTTAATAGATTTGAATACTTTTTTAATTAAACAGATTCAAAATTAGATACCTAAAACAAGCGAATTCCCTACGCATTTACCTCTTTTTAAAAACCTACCAACACAATAATCTTTTTAATTCAACAATCCTTTAAGAAAATACCAAATATAATAAACGTTCTAAAACATATGCAAAATACAATACAAAAAGCGAACAATCAAAACCTGACTATTTACCTGAGCAAATTGACAATTTAAATTTAAAAAAGAATTTATTTTCGATTTTAAAAATGAATAAATACAATGGCTTGGTCTTTAAACATGCCTCCACCGCAGCAATTGGAGACCTACAACGCACTAGATTTTGACCGATATGAGGATAATATCAGCCCCAACATCTACTCCTTTCATTCATTTAAGTTTGCTTCTTTCTATTTTGAATTTCAAAAGCACAAATTTAATGTGTTTAATTTCCGGTATCATAGGCTTTCTCCGAACTCAAATACAGGGACGGGTACATACAGGGCATGGGGTGCATACCCTCCACTATTGAAAATTTTCTAATTTTTTATATGAATTTTTTTTTTTCAAAAACAAGTGAGTCTCCATGTTTTTCTCTTAACCCTGTCAAAATGAAACAGATGCTATGAGCTTATACTTATCACTTATGAGGACAGACTAGTACTTTAAGGATAGACCCATCCATAATTAAGAAACACTAATTAAGCAATTCTTAAAAGTTTGACTTATAAACCCAAGAGGCTTAGATCATAACGGCATGACTCATGATAAGACAAAATATATAATAAAAACTATTAAAATATACGTTACATATTTTTTGTCACCCAATTTTTATCTTAGAAAAAAAAAAAGATTTAGGTTCTATTAATAAGGTATGTATATCATCTAATTTTATTTTTAACACAGTTGAGGGAAGAAATATTTTTATTAAAACTTTATATGGTGAATGAGAGGTTGAGTTTTTCCATTTGATTTTTTGTCCATACTCAACTTTTTCTGTCAAAGGTGTATTTTTTTTTTTGGTGTTTTTGTTGTTTGTTTATATGATTTCGACTTTTTAACCAGTTTTCTTTTTCTGCACACAACTCTTAATCTATCTCATTTTTTCAACATCTTGATCAAGTCCCCTTGAAAATATATTTCAATATTTTTATGTGATAACTCTAAAACAATATTATTTTTGTATTTAGATGATTTGAGCTTTCAAATGATATGCTTTATATAGGTTCAAATGTCGGGTAAATTTCAAAAAACTTCCGAATCGCTTTAAAAAGGATACTTTGACCTCTTTTATGTTAAAATGATGCTTCTAGTCACCTAGCCACCACTGTTAAATATATATATATATATATTTGATGTACTAATTGTCAGTTCGCCAAATCCTGTTATCTCATCAATGAGAAAAAATAAAAAAGTTTCAAGGATTAGCAGTAGCGGGTGGACTTATTCAAGACAGCTTTGGTGCATGGTTAATAGAATCCACTTATAAGATTGGTGTCTCGACTTTCTTTGACTGCGGAACTCTAAGCAATCTATTATGGATTGGAGGTATGTTGGTCCAAAGGCTATAGGATGGTACAACTGGAAACAAACTCATTACTAGCATTGCAAAAAATGCATAGCCAAGATAATGCATTGGAGCGAAGTGTCCAACTATTGCAATCAATTAGATAATTACTTCACAGGGAATGGGAATGTCACTTAATTCACATACATTGTGAGGCTAATCAATATATCGATTGGATGGTCACTTATCATGATGATTTAAATTTAAGCTTACATGTTTACGATATTCTCCATGTAAACATTTCCTTTTTATTACTAGTTGATTCTTTAGGTGTCCAATGGCCTAGGATGTTATTTTAAGCTAATTCAATAAAATTTCCTCTTTATAAAAAAATATTAAAAAGTTGTTAATAATTAATTAATTAAATAAAAAATCTCTTTTCTTTCTCTCTCTAACTTCCTCGCAAGTTTTTTATTATTTTTCTTTTTCCTTTTATCTATCTCTAAGTCCATCTTCTTCTCCCTTTTTCTTACTTCAATTAAAATATTTCACTTTTTCCCAAAACCTCTAATTTCACCTTTTTTTTCTTGTTTTTCCATAGGTATCCAAATTAAAATTTGAATTCTTAAGAGTGAGTGTTGCTGAAACCCTAAGAAAGAGGAAGAGCGAAGAATTTGATATGAATATTTTATTTTTGTTGAGAGAAAAAGAGATAAAAAAAATACTACTAAATCAAAATGCCTTATAGCTCAACAAGGATGTAATTCTTTTGTTGGTTAGCATCGGAATTAGAAAAGATCCTTTCCTAAGTTGTGTGATTGTGAGATATTATCAATGTTGAAAAAATTTGAAAAAAGTTTTGTCAGTTAGAATTAATTTTAATTAGATATTAAGTTGACGGTAGTTAATTTCTTTTACTATTTTTATCATTTACCTTTAATGGTTATCGCTTCATAATCTTAAATCAAACAAAAGTAAAACCCTAATTTATTTATTTTAAAAAAATAATTGATTACCACATTATAACTCTAAATCTATTCTAAAAATCACGTAAAAATATATCACTAAAGTTAACAAGTAAAAATTATCTTAAAATCTTGAAGTTGAACAATTTTACCAAACTTAATTTTAATAGAAGAAGAAAAAGAACGGGAGAAGAAGATAATAGAGTTAGGGATATAAAAGATTAGAATGATCAAGTTACGTTGTGAGGAAGTTAGGGAGAGAAAAAAAGATTTTTTTTATTTACTAATTATTAAAAACTTTTTAGTATTTAAGTTCAAGTCCTTAAGATTTTTAGTTTACCTCATTAATAAGGTGGTAGCATTTAGTGAGTTGACAGGTTATAGAAAATATATATTGACGATGCATCAAACAATAAACTGACAGTGCATCAAATACTAATCCTAAAAAAAAATGGGATCCAAAATCACAAACATTTTAGAATACAAATACTCCTTATATCATTTTTTTTTCAATTTAGGCATATTTCTTTTAAAAAATTCTGCTCATCCCTCTCCCTAAAACATTGATCAAGAAAAAAAATCTAGAAAGAATTTTCGTTTGAAGGCCCTAGAAATTTGAATTTGAAAATCGTAGAACTTCTTTTTTCAAGTAAAATCTAGTTTGAGTTTTTTTTTTTTGCATTGAAAAGAATAAATTAAAAGTAAATCTTTTATTAAATAATGGGTATTTCATTGAAAATGGATGATAACAGGATTTTAAACCAAATCCACTACTAAATAACAAAATCATAGAAAAAACTTAGATCAACCCATCAATAAGAACAAGATTTTGAATCTTGAAAAAGATAGAAAATTAAAAAAAAAATAATACAAAAGAAGAAAAGAAATGAAAGACCTTGGCAGATACAGCCTCTATGGGATCAACATTAGTGAATCTTCTCCTCTTTAAAAGTAGTGACCACGAAACGTCAACAATTTCTTCATATTTCTTTTCCTTTCAAATCAAAATTCCCTAGTTAGAAGAGCTAAAGTTATGAGAACAAAAAAAAAAAAAGAAAAATCCAAAGAGAGAAGAGAAAAATCTTCAAGTAGTAGGAAGAAAAATGAAATTTGAAGAATGTGTATGGATTATTACAAGATTTTTTAGGTGGACAAAACGCAAAAGACGAAGATTTGAAGAAAGTGTATCAGAATTCTTCAATTCTTTTATTTTTGTTTTTTTTTAAATGAAGGTTTTTGGGAGAGCAGAGAGATAAGCATAATTTTTTTAAGAGCGTATTTATGTCTAAAATGTTTGTCATGTTGGGTTATATTTTTTTAACAGTTAACTAATGGTGTTAACAGTCAAAGGGCCAAAACATCATTTTAAAGTAAAAAGGGCCAAAGTGTCATTTTAAAATGATTGAGAAGGCTTTTTTGGATTTTACCTTTTAAATGTATAACTATAAGATTTTGATAGTGTAGACGTATATCCTACAAGTCATTCAGATTGGTTGTACAGATACATTATAACTAGTTTGTATATTTAGCCTAATAAAAATATATTTTATCTACTAAGTTCTTACTATTACATATTGATGTTAACTTATAAAATAAGTTCATGGAATGAAAATGTCTTGTAAAAGGAATTACAAAAAGTTCTAATTATGAAACCTTTATGGTATCAAAGCATCATTCCTAAATTCATCCTAGTTGATGCTTTAGCAAGATTGGACATTCATATTTAATCTTTTTACTTGTGAAGTAAACAATTGGATTCATATATTGAAGTATGTAAATACTTGTAACTAACATGTGTTTTCTTGTTAAAAGAATAAATGTATTGAACATGACCCACCATGAGATTTTATTTGGTAGTTTACTAAATTACTAAAGCAAGGTGTAAATAATTCTTAGACTTGAAATCATTAGGTTATCTTATGTGGGGATTATTAGGGAAAAGGTATGCATTCAATCACAACGGAAATTTATAATTTTCCCTCAGATAAAATCAATAATTAGTTATTTATTGCAAAAAAAACCTCTAACTAAAAGAATAGATAATTATAATTTCTAAATTTTGCAGTCAAAATCACAAGATCCTAAGGCACAAAATTATATTCCTTTATACATCAAGCTTGAGTTGTAGCAAACCACAAGTTGTCTAATTGTACAGCCTCTAGCAATAACAATACAAATAATGATTATGAACAATTCCAATGCAAAATAAGGTTGCTTGTGCTTCCACAGCCTTATGCTAGTTAGACTTTCAAACTTCTCATTGCCCAAGGAGTAATGAGAAAAGGTCAACAAAGGGAAAGAGAATAAGCAAAATCTATACATAACGAACTATGCCTATTTCTAAGGTTTGTCATAAATACTCGAATTCTCTCCTTACTTACCTCTCAAGGTTTCAGATGTGTTGTAGTAGCCTCTCGTGTGTGGCTCAAGCATTATATTTATAGGCAATTGTGTTGATCCTAGTTTTAATAGGATTTGCATGACTTTTATGCTAATTGTAAAATTTTTTCTTAGCAAAATTGAACCATTCAATTAAGTCCAATTTGATTTCTCTAGTTTACATTCTCAATTATCATTCTCTAATATGTGTGACATATTAGCTGCTTAAGATATTGGCAATAAATATAAGCTATAATCTATGGTGAACTAGGATTAGATTTTTGAAATTCCTTTACACTTATCATCAATTCCCTAATTAATTAGTTCACATTTATAAGTCAAGATTGATATCTAGCAATACGTAATGACCACCTAAAATGTTAAAAAGAGTCATAGTGGTTTGACTCAATCCTTCACTGCACAGTCTTACCATGTAATTATTATCCCTTTATCATATAATACCTTAACAAAACATGAAGTATATATGGTGCAATGTTAACTCTATCTTGTCTTTCCCATTTTAGTACTTGAATCTAGTAATGAAACTCATCATTAGAGAGTGTACAAGCCTTTTATTGACATCTTTAGTTGCCTTAGCTAATGGTTTCCTTGAGTTAGTACATATCAAGTTGCACTGAGATATTCCCCTTATATGCAATCTGTGAAAGGCATGAGCAACATATTGATCCTATCTAGAAACTCAATCCTCGTCACACAATCATAGTCATGCATAGGGATCACCTCGATAGATCTCAAGCCTTTTACTAGCCAAGTTGCACTTCTACCTTGAATGCCAAGCCCATCATGCACACTTGCTCAGAGTTTACAGTCTTTATTTAGCCTGCTCTTTTCTCTACCTTTAGCTTAATCCTTTAATAGCACTATTTGACATGAAGATGTTTGATGCTCCAATATCAACCAAGGCCTCCACACGTTGGCTTACCACCATTAGGTTCATGAACATGAGCCCTTTACTTGGCCCTTCCTTTTCGCTTTCATTGACCCAATAACATTGAACCAAACTTCACTATTTCATTGCCTTGCTTATCATCCTTCCATGCGATGACAACAAATTTGGCCCCTTTTTTTGGTAGTCCCTTATAATGTGGCCCATCACATAGAAAATAGACTTGTGACTTCTTTTTTTTGTCCCTAGTAAACTTCCACTTTTCGTGTGTTGGTGGTTTCTTCTCACCATTACCCCTTTCTTTGGGCTACCGGTCTTTGTCCTCCTTACCTTTACCTTTGTTTAGAAAATGCATGCTTATCTAACTTACGAAACTCTACTAATGACTCAGCCACAACCATGGCTTATGTAAAGTCTTGCAGACCTCTATGTTTAAACTCTTATGTTGCCCTTCGTTTCAAGCCATCCATGAAAGAAAAGAAAACCTCAATCTTAGTAAACTCCTTTACCTACTTACACACCTCCCCCTTTAGGGTCAACCTCTTGAGCCTCATGTAAGTCTCATCTTTTCCGTATTTAAGAAAAAGCTACTAGCAAAACTCCCTTTGGAACTTCTCTTACATGCATATAATGGCTCTCACTAGCCTCTCATCATTCTTATACTGCCACTATTGTAATGCAATGTCCACCAAGTACATCAATGTTGGTAATCATGCACATTGAATCCTCCATGATACCAATGGCCTTAAAAGTACTACTCAAGGTTGGAAAGAAAGATGTCAACCCCTTTGGCATCCCTTTGACCTTGATATTCCTTAGGCTTTGGCACTTCTACTCGTGTGCTTAGCTGGACAAAGGGCACTCCATCACCTGTGGCCTTACAGGTACCAAAATCACTTTATAGCTTTAGTTGTTCATGCTTTAAGGGTTTGTTATGGCCTTTAATATATTATTCCTCTAGCTTAAGAAGTTGAAACTCTCATTTAAGGCTTATTGTATCTCTTTTTTAAGCTTCTTATCCTTTAAGTTAAGCCTATCAAACCCTCCATCAAATTCTTATATTATCCTTCATTTTACCTATTGTGACCTTAACCTTGGCAAAATGACCATCAAATGCGAATAGAATTTCCCTTGAACTTGACTTACTCCTTTTCCCAACCTTTTAGGCCTTTCTTGTGTTTTGGCATGGAATTGGTATGGTTTGAAACACTAGCCATCGCTCTTTATCTCCTTTCTTGGCTCTAATACCAATTGTAATGGGTTGGAATTTTAAGTAACATAAACACAAGCAAAAACACCAAGTGTTATCCTACAAAGCAACATATAGAGAAAATAAAGAGAGTATAGTATTGTTTTATTGAGTGTTTCATCCATCTATAACAATGGGGTTTACATGGACAACATCTTCCATTTTATGTATAGGAAGGGCTTAAAAAATAAAGTCCCCCCCCTTTAACGACTAATTGGTGGTGTCTAACAATTGGAAATTCAAACTACATTAGGAGGCGTTGGCAACACTGTGCTATCGAATTTGCCCTTGGTTATTTGTTGTCTAAGTTGGGCTAGCCTACTGGCCTGTTTGCCTAATGCTTAGGGGTTAATTTGCCTTTGGCTTATCATGGGAGTTTCCAACTAGGTTTAGCTCACTAATGCACCTCGAAGCCCTCCTTATGCTTCTTGAATTCACGACTTACGATGTTTATATCAAGATTCAATATAAAGTTAGATCAAATTGAGATATAATAAAACTTTGATCCCAATATCTAAATATTTTAAGACTTCATCGTTATCACTTTTAGTACCCGACTCGAGTCCTTATTATATTTATTGTCAATTTCAGGTATTTATAGAGCACTCAGTACCCGTATAGGATCTGATTATAGTTATATTATATGTAATATTATAATTATATTATATGTAATATTACAAAATGTTGTAATTACAGTGATTTGAATATGTGCTCTTTTTACATTTTTTACAACCTTAACCATCTCAATCATTTTCCTCTTTTGTAAATTACTAAAAGCAAAATTAATTTATATTAATTGGAACTATGATGAAAACTTAAATATATAAAATTTTTATATTAGTTGAATTTGTAAACTAACCAATATAAAATTAATTTATATTACTGGAACTATGATTAAATATCTAAATTTTTATATTAGTTGAACTTGCACGCTAACAAATGTAAAATTAATTTATATTACTTGAACTATGATGAAATCTTAAATATATAAAATTTTTATATTAGTTGAACTTGTAAACTAACAAATGTAAGATTAATTTGCATTGCATGAACTATGATGCAATCTTAAATATATAAAATATTTATATTAGTTGAACTTATAAACTAGCAAATGTAAAATTAATATATATTGCTTGAACTATGATGCAATCTTAAATATATAAAATTTTTATATTAGTTGAACTTGTAAACTAATAAATGTAAAATTAATTTATATTACTTGAACTATGATGCAAACTTAAATATATAAAATTTTTATATTAATTGAACTACTTTATATTATTTGAACTATGATGCAAACTTAATAACATATCATTGTTTTGTTTAATAAACATTTTAACTTTTTGGAAGCAACATATAATAACTTTCCTTATTTGTGTTTAATTTTTCTTAAAGTAACTTTAATTATCTTTTCAACTAATTTAATTTCATTTTGTATCTTATATTTATTTCCTTCTCACTTATGACTTATCTACCATATATAAATAAAGACTAGATAATCTTAGAAGATATGAAAATTTTACATTATATCTATTTTTTAATTTTTCATTTAAGATAACATACGATAACACTAAAATATATATATGATAACATAATGCACTAAAGACAAGATAATACCTTATTTTTCTTAAAAAAAAGGATAATATCCTATTTTCTCAAAACGATGTCGTTTCACTCCTCCTACCCCTAAGAATAAAATCATTGTTTGCCTCACTTTCTTCCAAGCTTTAACTCCCTAGCAATTGTCCTCCAAACAAACAACATTCTTCCTCTTTAGCCGTACTCCTTTTCTTCAACTAATTCAACCACTAATTTCCTTTTTCTTCCCTCTCTCTCAACTAACATTTTTCTATTTCTTGGGTTGTATGGTTCTCGCTCTCTTAATCAACCCTCTTACCTTCATTTTTACTGGTGTTAACTTAAGAGGTAATAGTGGTGGGTGGCAAACAAGGCTAGAGTATATTAGCGATATAGCTTTCCCTTAGTCGACAAACCTAGTGTTGGTGTGGGGAAGGAAGGCTTAGCTCATTTACCTACGAGATTCAAAGACTCAGGGTTACAGAATCTGAAGTTTGTCATTTCTAGGTTTTGGCTTTTGAGATTAATAAGGAAGCAAGGTAAAGATGCCCTTGACTTTGTTTTATTTTGCAGGGGCTGTGTAGTAATTTGTTCATACAATATTTTGGCTTGTAAAAATGATTGAATTCTTTGTAAGTAAGTTACAGGGCTTTGTGTTCTAAAGATTGATTTTAAATGCCATAAGAAACTACTGTTTTTTTTTTTTGAAATATAGGCTTTAATCTTTTTATATAGTATACATGTGGATACAAATAAAAATTCATGTTTTTGGATATAAATCATTACAACATTTTTGACTATTAAATATTCACTTCAAGTAAATGCTTGGGAACTATACATGTCTTTGTTAAAAAATGGAGGCATAAGTTTTGACTGTAGGCTACTCTTCTTTAAAGAAAGAGAAAAATAGAGCACCACTGTGTGGTAGCACACTAATTGTAGATTACAAACTTTAAGCGGCGAAAGATCGTTAGCTATATCCAAGGATTACTAGAAAATATCAAGGTTGGAACAGCTTAGGATAGAGCTGCTTGGTTATGCATGCTTTAAGTGCATTGTCAATGCATAGTTGTTTACCTCAAAGGTTTTTAGCTGAATGCCGTAGGAAATTACAAACATTAAGATTATTAACGATTAAGATTGTTTGTATATCATTCATTCACTGAATGCATGTGCTTTCTTATTTCAAAAAAATAAAACTTAGGAGGTAATAGGGGAATAAACATGCTTTTTTTATAAGATGCTCATAGAAATAGCATCATATGCCAACTTCCTTATAACCTTTGTTTGATTCAAGAATGTTTAACATCTGTTTTTGGCATGTGGTTAAATGTATCAAATGTGATAAATTTATTTCCTATTATTGATGAATGCAATACAATCTTCTTGGTTTAGGGATTGGATGTTCTTGTACATAGAGGTATATATGTGAATATCTTACTGTTGGCTTCTGTATTTGCCTTAGCCTTTAATTCTTGTTACATTATTTTTAAAGCTTTTTCACTTGTATGTATAATTTAATGTACATTGGTTCAAGTCAAATGTACTTCTCATTAATAACTGTTTTTTTTTTTACAATGTATAGATTTTTTGAAGAATGTCGACAATTGAAAAAGAAGGTGAGAATTATGATGGTCAAAATCATAAGAATGTAGACAATTTATTTTTGATGGGTGCAAACTTATCTTGTTCGAGAAACTCACCTATGATGATGGAAACTCATAATGCATCATCTTCTATGCCTAGTTCAACTAAACCTTTGTTAGTTGCTACTGCTCCAAGTGTAGGGATGCAAAATGATGGAAAAGTTCAAATTCAAAATTTTACCTTTGATCCAAACATTTCAAGACATAAGTTGGCTTATGCTATAGCCTTACAAGAGTATCCCCTTAGTATTGTTGAACATGTTGGTTTTAGAAAGTATAGTAGTAGTCTTCAACCTCTTGTTAAGTTTCTTTCTCGCAATACAATTAAAGGGGATATTATCAAGGTTTATAACATGCAGAAGACCAAGTTACAAGGTATATTTGGGAATTTAAAAAGTAGAATAGCAATTATGATAGATATGTGGATTTCAAATCAAAAGAAAGGTTACATGTCTGTCACTGCTTATTTTATTAATGGTTATTGGTTGTTGCAAAGTCGTATCTTGAGGTAAATAATATTTATTTTTAATTATATAATATGTGGTATAAAATTCATTAATGTTTTTATGAGCATACTTTTAACGGATATTTATTTTTTAAATATGTAGGCTTATTTCTGTGCCTACACCTCACTCCATGGATGTTCTTGCACAAAAGCTATTGGATGCCTTGACTCAGTGGAATATAAAGAGTAAAATCTCTACTATAACTATGGATAATTGCAACTCTAATGATGTAATGATTTCCATTGTAGTTGATAAGCTGTGTTCTAAGCCTTTATTTGATGGGAAAATCCTTCACATGAGATGTTGTGCACATATTTTAAATTTGATTGTGAAAGATGGATTACTAGTGAGTGATGAAGTCATTGAAAATATTCATAATAGTGTAATTTTTTGGACAACTAGTTCCTCTGGAGTGTCAAAGTTTGAAGATGTAGTTCGTTAGTCAAAAGTGTCATATTCTAAAAAGTTAAGTCTTACTTGTAAAACTAGGTGGAATTCTACTTACTACTTCACTTTCCTTTGTAGTACAAATATCTTTTTCCTAAGTTGAAACTTAGAGATAAATATTATGTTTCTGTGCCTAGTGAGGAAGAATGGGAAAAGGCAAAAAATATTGTTGAAAAGTTGGAGTTGTTTTATAATGCCATTGTATTATTTTTTTGGACAAAGTATCTTGTTGTGAAGTGTTATTTTGTTCAACTATGTGAGCTTCAAAGTTTAATAGCAAATTGGATATGCTATGATGATGTTGCAATTAACGCAATGGCAAAAAAAAAAAAATTTGACTAGCGTGATAAGCATTGGAAAGTTATTCATGTTGTGTTAACAATTGTAGTTATATTGAATCCTATGTGTAAAATGAAAGTAGTGGAGTTTTATTTTTCTAAGGTTTATGGAAATGATGCAACTTATGAGATTGAACAAGTTAAGAGAACTTTTTATGATTTATTTCTTAAATATCAGTCTAGATCAGGTAAATCAAAGTCACATTCTTTTAATACTTTAGTTTAGTAATCACCATCTATTCAGGCATTAAGTCAAAGGAAATTACTTTCCAAGTTTGTTGCATTTATGTGTCCTTTTTCTAGTGATAGGAATGTGAAATCAAAATTGGATCATTATTTAAATAAGGCATTTGCGCCATGGGTTGAATCTGTTGATATTTTGAATTGGGGGATAAATGGGCTTAAGTGTCCCACTTTGCAAATGATGGCCAAAGATTTTCTTACTGTTATTATTTCTGTGATTGCATTTGAGTTAGCATTTAGTATTAGTGGGAGAGTGGTGAGTAAACATTGAAGCAAGCTTCATCCAAAAACTTTGGAGGCATTAATTTGCACCCAAAATTCATTGAGGAATGAAATTGGAGGAAAAGAATATACCCGTGATTTTTTCATTTGTTTTATAAAATATTTATTATATTTCAATTTACATAATTTTTCATCATTTTAATTTGTATAAGATCTTCAAATGGAGTTGAACTTTGCACAAGTGATATTGAGGAAGAAGAGGAATTCAAATGAAATTTATGATATTTTCATTTAGTTGTATCTTACATTTAATATGATGTTTGATGCTACACTTGTAGTACTTTTATGTTGTATTGTTGTTGATTTTAATTTGGAATAGTTTTTAATTGCTAGTTAATTATATATGAATCAATGTAGAACATTTTTTAATTCAGATTTTAGGTTTGGGGTTTGGGTTATTACACGAGTATTCAAATACTAAAAATTTGCTTCGAATAATCGAATAATTAATGGATTTGGATCATTAACGAGTAGTGTTCTACTAATAGGGTTTGGTTTGGGCTATTTTTTTTTTATTTTTTTGGGTTTTTATAGGGTTTGGGTATTTTAGTATTTAAATCGTTTCGAGGTCGGTTACTTCAAAAATAACGGGTACCCTATCCATTTACATTTTTATCATTTGAGATATAAAAATCTTGAAATTAAATCAAATTCATCTTTCTGTGTAATAAAGCATATGACATTTGTTTATTTATTTAGTAGAGTAAACTCTTTATGCTCAAATCCCCAACATGTCATACATCATAAGATCACTTGCTCCTGTAAGAGGAGAATGAAAAGTAGAATAAATGTATGTGATTGAAACACTTAAGTTTGCCATAAAATCAGCCAGGGAATTACCTTCTTATTAGATACACTTTGTGACGACCTTCCATTCCCATTCCATCAAGTTACATATTGTATTGATCATATCAGAATTTCGACATGGGTGTGAACCAAAAGAAATAATTGCTCAAACTACTGGCAAACTGTCTTCTTGTATAATGAGTCTTCTAAAACCCAACTCCCATGGAAGCAGTAAACCTTTATATACTCCCTAAAGCTTAGCTCTATATGTTGTACAAGTCCCTAATTGCATCGAAAAACCACCAAGCCTGCCACTTGAGGCATTACGCAAGGTCCCACTAATAGTGGCTTGTCCAAGAGACATTCTATAAGCTCCATCTGAATGTAACGCAATCAGGGGCGGAGCGTCCCTTTGTAATGAGGCGGCCATGGCTCCCTCAAAATTTTGAAATTTTTTTATATATTATATATTTTTAATAATTTTTAAATAATTTTTTATTAAATAATGAATATAATTAAAATAATAATAAAATGACCTTACAAACTCCATTCAATTTTACTCAAATTCTTAAATTTTTTTTTGAAGTTTCTCCACCCATCTTTCCCTCTTTTCTTTTCTATCCTTGTATTATTAAATTATAAAAAGGTAAAATTTTTATTTAATTTTTTCTATTTATATTATTATTATTTATTTATTTCAATTATATTCTATTTACTCATATATTTTAAGTTTTTATAGATTTTCTTTTTTAAATTTCTACAAATCATCAACCATATTCTTTTTTTTTTGTTACATAGGTTATATCTCTTATCATGATTTTTTTCCTATTATGTGGATTTTAATTTTTAAAAATTAAAAAATTATTGTATATGTAGTTCTCAAATATAAGTTCTAGTGTTGCATTATTGGTTGTTGTTTAAAATTTCACTAATATATTATTTTTTATTAATCCTAATTATATAAGAAAAAATTATCTTGAGTATATGTTTTTAATATGCTTTACATTTTATATTTAGTTGAAAAGAAATTATCTTAAGTATAAGAATAAATTATTAATTCTGTATATCGTATTTAACTATTTATATTTTAGGCATTATAGTTTAATATTTAGTATTATAAACTTAAATATAATAAAATAAAAATAATTGATGTTGACTACATTAATTTTATAGTCAATTATATTGAGAAAGACAAAGATTTCGAAACAAAATGGATGATAAGTTTTTTATAAATAATTTTATTATTTATATTAAAAAAGATATTACCATCGTTGAACAAAACTTTCCTAAACTACTATTATAAGTTTTTTTCTTTTGATTTACATATTATATAAAATTATTATCTATTATAAGTTTTTTGATTATTAATGGTTAAATTCAATATATTAGTTTTAAAAATTTTTAATTTTTATTCTTCTTAATCTTTGGTCAGCCCAATAAAAATTGATTAGCTTCACTCCTTAACACAATCCAGTTATCACTTCGAGGAGACCAACTTATATGAATTTCTTGGCATCTGACAGCAGCAGAAGAAGTGCCTCCTTAATTAACCATGTTGGCATTATGAATAGTAGAGGCAAAACTCTTAATCAAATTCAAACAACCAACTGCAAGAAGCATTTTACCTTCAAACACTAATGCATTCCTCCTTTTGCACAAAAACCAGCAATTTTTGTTTTGTTTAGAAATTAAAAAGGGTTGGCACTTAGTGTATAAATAAACATAAGATTAAGAATCTATCTCAACTTAAATATAGAAGTTAGATTATTGTCTGTATAGATGTCCTAATAAGTTTAAGTTCATTAATTCGACTCATATTTCAACAACTCGAAATTATTTCATTAAAATAAAAAAAGTTATTAAAATTTAAAACTTTAAAAATGTAAAACATATTAAAAAAATAAAAAAAATCTTAATGTAACCCATTCTTAAAGCAACAAATATCACCCCACAAACAAAAAGAAAAAAAAAGGTAAAATAAAGAAAAAAAAAAGAATGTAAAAGATAAAATTTGGAAGGCAAAGCCATAAAGCTAACATACAAAATTATGGAAAAAAAAAAGAGAGGGGAGAATAAAAACAAAAAAGGAAGTGAAGAAGAACCATCTCACATGCCAAATAATCCGTACTTTGAACACATCTTTCCTTTGTGCTTCTGCCAACAATGACTGGATTGCTTGAATTTTAAGGCTGGCATATGAAGAAAAAAATACACATGATTCCACCTTTTTCTTTTTATAATATATTTTTATTATAATTACTCTCCCACCCGAAATTAAAACCCAAAATTGTCAAGGCTGGCATCGGCATATGAAGGCTGCAGGTTGCTTTTAATTTTCTTCCTCCCTTTTTATTATATTAAAAATAATCACAGTTTGTTATGTTCCACATATATTCATTGTTATTTATGTAGAGAAATAATATTACTCACGTGAATTACATCATTAAAAGGTTAAAAGATTAATGATAGCTATGTTTAACTCCAAGGCATATCAATCATACGAAAGGGGAGTTTACCTTACTATTTATTAGTTATTAACTACTATTTATATGTGGTACGTACTTTAATCAAGCAAAGGAAGTTTCATTTTACTTTATAATGATAATTATCATTTTCTTTTAGGAAGAGGGCACTTCTTTGCTTCCATCATATTTATCCAACAATCATAATCTAATTCTAATTGGAGTAGAACACGTTTTTGATGAACATAAATTTTTGGGATTACATTTATGTATGAGGTTTAATTTATTTGTGAATTCAAAATTATATATTTATGTATGACATTGAATTTATTCTCATTAAATCCTTTGCAATTTTATTTACAATTTAAGGTTTTTCTTTTTCAAAAAAGAGAAAATATTGAAGTTCCCATTTAATTTAATTTGAAATAAATTTTAGTGATTGCTGAAAAACAAAAAATTGACATTTTATTCATTATTAGGGGATTCAGAGGAATGAAACGTACAAGTATGTTTAAGTTTTTATGTAGGTCACTTGTTGCCTATTGCATTAAAGAATATAATCTTTTGAAAAGAAATATTTAGATTTGACTGAATATAACAGAAGAAACAAAACTTATGAAATTTTTTTAAATTTATAGTTCAGAAGTTCTTTTACGTATTATACCTTCAAATTTAAATATTTGAACTATATCATGATGTATATTTGAAAGTTTAGATGGGCAATCCTATTTTTTGTTTTAGTTTGGATACCAAATTATATATTATAATGTAAGTGAGGTACCATTTATATATATATATATATATATATATATATATATATATATATAAAACTCATGTAGATAATAAGAATGGCGAATGCTTTGGACATATCATCACATGGGTGGGCTCTAAAATGATTAAGGAGAACATGGAAACATTTGCTTTTGTTGCTGTGAGAAACCCTTCTCAGTACAACTCCCCAACTTAATTAGTTTTTATTATAAAAAAAAGAATTTTATTCTAAATATTTTATTTTTTTAATTTGAAATTTTTAATTGAAGGAAGGAGAGATTCACAATAAGTTATTTCAGTATAGATTGTATACACTTACTTACCATCAAATTAAATGCTCAAATGCAATGTATTGTCCTTCTTATAATTTGATAAAATGAGTAAAGTAAATAAACAAATTTCTTAAAATAGCTCTTAACTAATCATAACTAATGCTTCTAACCATCCATTAATTGAATCCTTTAATGTATAATTAAGTATGTAAATTTTTTGTCGATAAGGCTTTATTAATGGTAAGGAGTAGCAATTTGAATTCATTAACGCATCAAATCTCATTATGCATAAATTTGGTTCAACTCTATGTTGATTTATTAATTTCATTAACCCTTTAAAGTATAATTAAGTATATATTGTATTTTCTTATAAATTTATTGTTATTTCTTTACTAAAGGAAAACATATTATTTGTTCGTCTATTCCTAAGTAATATTTTAACCAACTAAACATTTTAATCATACTATATAAAAATAGATTATAAAATAATTATTCTTATCTTATTTTATTCTCACAAACGAAATAGGTACTTGATTCCATTTTCTTTTAATCAACCAATAAAATGTGCTGCTAAAATTTTTTTATTTATAATAAAGTGGCATAATGTGCAAGGCATTGGAAGAGGACCTCCCTGTTTGATTATAAAGTTTACCTAACTATCACAAAGGAAGAACACCTGAACTTGGTTCTTGTTCAAGCATCCAATTCACTGTTGACTTGGATTCCTCAGTCCAAATGGCATGGGAACTGATTGCATTCCCCAGCTCTGACTTGAATTTGGTTTTCTGTTATGATTACATTCCTGAGTCCTGACCAAGGAATTCAGTTCAGGACTGTAGGTTTATGTTATTTTCAGTTCAGAGTTGTCCTAGAACAAGGAATAGGTGCACCTCTAAGTCTAAAAAGTCCTATTCCAAGCAAAGGATCTCTAATATTACCACAGGAACTTCCCTGGGGAAAAGAAGGGATTGCATTGCAAACCAGAAACAGAGTTCCCATATGCCATGGAAAGTCAAATTATTTATAGAAAAGATAGCAGGAGCGAGATGGTTGGGATTTCACAAAAGCATGATTTACCAATCAGAAACACATATCCAGTTGCAGCTTGCTTTGTAACAGTACATATTAAGGCTGTTCATATACGTCAAACCCAGAAATTTTGATGGCCTTGAGAGAGAGAGTTTCATCAGAACCAACCGGTCATCTTCAAATCAGAACCTCCACTCCATACGGAAGTTTATATCCAGAATTGGATCAGAGCAGCCTCTGCTTTTACTAGGCGCAAATGACCCTGGTTTTTTATCTATGACTGTTTATTACCCTTGCTCTCAAACTCTGATCTGTCTTTTGTTTTTGCCCCAAGGAACTCTCTGTTCCAGTAGAAAGGGGAAATAAAAAGGTAACCGGAACAACCGCTTTATTTAAAACAAACCTAACTCAAGAATCATCAGAGATGCTTTCCTCTCAGCTCAAGTTTCCATGTGTGAAAAGCTCTCAAACTTACCCACCTCTTATAAATTGAATTCAGCTCTGCAAATCCACCTCAATCAACCCCATCATCAGTAATGGCTTCTCTGCTGCAACTCTTTTCTCTTTTCTTTCCATGTCTTCTCATCTCTACAGCTTCATCAAGTCAAATCCCAAAGGTATGCAAATGAATCGTTTTTAATCGAATTTCCAAGTATTTGTTTGGTAGCTGGCAGTTGGATTTCCCTTGGTCCACTACCATAATGCTGTAACATCAAGAGCAGCAATAGGGGTGATTGAAATGATTAGAAACAATCCCAGTGAAATGCTTTTATTTTTTTCTTCTTCTTGGCAGCGTTATATCGTATATATGGGAAGTTCATCTGAAGTGAATGATGAAGCTGCAGAGTCAGATCATCTGCAACTACTGTCCACAGTTATTCCAGGGTTGTTGTTCTGTCTTATCACCAGCTTTCCTTACTGGGATTTGTAGCAGTTATAAAAATATGTAGTTAATTATCTCTCTGATCCATTTCCAGGCAGGACAGCGGAAGAATATCCCTCATACATCATTACAATCATGCCTTGAGAGGATTCTCTGCAATGCTTACAGAAAATGAAGCATCTGAGTTGTCTGGTAAGTCCCCCTGGCCTTAGGCCATTGGCCCGTCGCTTATCTATATACCTGTCCCTAGACCTTTTGTTATTATTACAGAGTACCCAAGTTTGAACGCTTTTTGCCTTTGCCCCATCTTGGGAAAGCAGGCCACGATGGGGTTGTCTCTGTGTTCCCTGATTCGGTTCTTCAACTCCACACAACTCGTTCTTGGGATTTCTTGGAGGGACAATCAAGGCCAAGGTTCAGCCATGGATCATACCAGCATAAGTCAAGTTATGATGTCATAATTGGGATGATAGATGGAGGTACCTTACCTTAATCATAACTTGTAAATTACTGCTCTGTACTCTCTTCTGTTTTGTTTTATGGTGGCCATTGAATTCATGAGTTACTAGTGTCTCAAACTCATAACTATGATATAAATCATATTAAATAGACATCAATGCAGTTATCACCGCAAAAGTTGAAATACAGATAACTAGCTAGCTAGGGCTCCATGCAGTAGTTGTTGACCAAATGCCTTTTATAGGCATATTCATTGTTTTTATTTGTTTTTTATTTTTTAAAAAAACTTAAACTCTAAAACCATGTAAATGCAAATTGCCAAAAGGAAAATTTAATATATTATTTACTATTAAAGTTGGATTCTAAGCGACCAAAAACAGTTCTTTTTTTGTTTCTTACTTTTTCGTTTATTAAAGAAGAAAAAGAAAAGAGAAGAAAAGGAAAGGAAAAGAAGAAAAAATGAGTATTTTTTTCATTTTAATTTTTTTATTTGTTCTAAATTACTCTATAATGGGTAAAATCATATATGAAATTTTAAATTAAAAGCCTATCAATCAGCAATAATTTTATCATAATAGACAATAAAGCGTATAATTAATGCTAATTAATTGCAATGTAAATGTTAAAATTAGTTTTATTTTTTAACAATAATTTAAATGTTAAAATTGATTTTCAATTTATTTTCTTCTAAATAAAATAATTATTTTATTTGTTATATGGTAGATGTAATATGCTTATATATTTATTTAAATAGGTTATATGTTTTATTAACAAAATTTAGGTCATACTATTATTTTTATAATTTTTAAAAAAGAAATGAAAGTGGAAAATGTCTAACATAAAAATAATATGCTTGATTACATAAAATAAAATAAGGTTAAATATTACAATATTTGAAAAGTGATATGATTCATAAAATTATATGCATTTTTAACTTTATTTTTATTAAATATAATGTTTTGAGGATGGGGATTTGAAACCAGCTTTTGATAAGGAGATGCATACACTTATCATTAAACAAAATACTTAAGTTCTAATTTCATATTTCACCTTATAATCCATTCTATTAATTATACATAAAAGTAAATTTTAAGAGACTTAACTGATTATATCAACAATAACATAATTAAAATAAATAAAAAATAAATAAATTAACATAATGTTAATTATTAATATATATAAGTAGAAATAGTTTTTAAAATAAAAAATATTTTAATTATTTTATAATTAATCATAATTTTTTTATGTTTTAAAAATAAAAATGAGCTAATAAAAAGGCAAATATCTCCCTTTTTATTATTATTTTATAATTTAAATCAGACCCTTTTTTTTTTTATTGTGTTCATTGATTGGAGAGAAAGTTGGTTTATTTTTATGTGGGACTTGGAAGACAAACTATGGATATAGAGCAATCCCCAAAAGGATTGTAATGCATTGCATGGGAATTTTTAGCACTTTTGTATAAAATGACAAAAGCATTTTTGGTGGTTAAAGTGTTCATGTGATGATAATGCTGCGTTGGTCCAATGGTAGACATGCTTATCCCTAGGATGGGATGTTTCACATATGGCCAAACGCCAGACAAAAAAGAAAAAAGGGATGGAGATTTTCATAGGAGTCTAGGAGTGGGTCTCTACCCTCCAATCATCATCATTTCTGAAGAGACCACTCTCATTTAACTTATTGTATCAACCACACAATCATCATCAACACCACAAATCTGACACCAAGCCTTCTCTTTCTGATTTGCTCTTCTTGTGAGTGAGTGATAAATACTGAATCCTTGTGATATGGACTCAAATTTGATGCTTTTAGAATTCAGATTGCTAAATCCAAGGAAAAAGTTGATTAATAAAAGTAGTACAAAGTAAAGAAATTAAAGGACACAAAGGATGTGGTTCAATAATTTTGTATTAAAGATTTGATTTTACAATGTGGTTTAACTCCCTTAAACCTTGACTCCTTGATCTCTTATTATGAGGTTAGTATGTCTAATTGTTTACCATTTTCCTTAATGGTAGTACTTTCTCTTCTTTCTAGGGATTTGGCCTGAGTCTCCAAGTTTCAGAGATGAAGGAATGGGAGAAATACCTACAAGATGGAAAGGAGTTTGCATGGAGGGACCTGACTTCAAAAAGTCTAATTGTAACAGGTGAGCTACAAATGTTTTCAGCCGGTCAATATAACAAAAGGAATTGCAATAATATATATATATATATATATATGTATATAAGGTAGTTTTAAACAATGTGTATATGATATTTTGAATTATTTGTAATTGTAGGAAGTTGATTGGAGCAAGGTACTACAGTGTCCCGCACACATCCAATGGCAACATGACCACACAAATGAGAGTTGACAAGTCGCCAAGGGATACTGTAGGGCATGGGACACACACTGCATCCACTGCAGCTGGTGCACAAGTCGACAATGCTAGTTACAATGGCTTGGCTCAAGGGACTGCCAGAGGTGGTTCCCCCAATGCCAGGATTGCAATGTATAAGGCATGTTCCGAAGATGGTTGTCCTGGTTCCACCACATTGAAGGCAATCGATGATGCAATTAAGGACGGTGTTGACATTATATCCATTTCTATTGGGATGAGCTCTCTGTTTCAATCTGATTACCTGAAAGACCCCATTGCTCTTGGAGCATTCCATGCGGAGCAGATGGGGGTCATGGTTGTCTGTTCAGGAGGCAATGAAGGGCCTGATCCTTTCACTGTTATTAATGCAGCACCATGGATTTTTACCGTCACAGCTTCTAATATTGATAGGGATTTCCAATCTACAGTGCTTCTAGGAAATGGAAGAACCTTTCAAGTAAGATATATATATATATATATATATAGTTTTATTAAGAAAGGTTAACTAATTATATTTATATTTTGCTTCTCATTATATATAAGAATTCATCAGTTTTCATGCTCCTGTGTTGAAAGGGGTCTGCCATCAATTTCTCAAACCTCACGCGCTCAGAGACTTATCCTCTTGCATATGGAAAGGACATTGCTGCTAAGTTTAGCCCAATTTCAGAGGCAAGGTACTTTGATACCATTATATAGTAAAGTTGACTATAACAAAATATGTATTGTCTTACTGTAACAGCAATATTGATGATAATACTGATTAACACATTGTTAACAAGTTTTATAGCTAGTCGTAATTGTTAAGATCAATCCTTTCTATATTGATTGCAGGAGTTGCTATCCTGGATCTTTAGATCCGGAAAAGGTTAAGGGCAAGGTCATTGTTTGTGTTGACAGTTTCCCAACTGTATCAAGAGAAATCAAGAAATTAGTAGCGGAAGATGCACAAGCCAAAGGATTGATCTTGATCAATGAGAATGGAAAAGGTGCTCCTTTTGATTCAGGGGCATTTCCATTCACCGAAGTTGGAAGTGCTACAGGATACAAGATCCTTAAGTACATCAATTCTAACAAGTAAGAGCATGCATTACTCCTCAAAAACACACCAAAAACTCTATATACAATTTATTACTTGCTTTAACACTTGCACCATTCCCAGCTTAACCTTTTGGGAGTTGTAAACATAATGAAAACATTTTTAAGTAGCATCCTTTTGATCATAATCTTGTTCTCATCTCTTCCTTAATTTGAAATACTTGATTTAAATGAAAGAGACAACTTTCAAAATTGCTTATGCAAGCCTTTTTGTATCATCCTTTTTTTTCCAGTAAAATTGAATATGCCTTGACGAAAGGCATGCTGATGCTAAGTTCTCCTTTGTTTTTTTAATATGGAAGAAATCCAACTGCAACCATCCTTCCTACAGCTGATGTCCCAAGTTATAGACCAGCACCGGTGGTGGCATATTTTTCATCGAGAGGTCCTAGTGTACTAGCAGAAAACATTCTCAAGGTCATTCTCTATCCCATAAACCTTACACAATTAGAAATTAATTAGTTCGTGAAGATCTAGCATGTGCTAATGCTTTCTTTCAAGTTTCTTAATGTTGGATTTACCCTTCAGCCTGATATACTGGCTCCAGGAGTCGCCATTTTAGCTGCGGTGATTCCAAAATTTGTACAAGGGAATGCCTTGACTGGTAAGAAGCTCCTGGAATATGCCATAAAATCTGGAACATCAATGGCCTGTCCACATGTTACAGGGGCTTCTGCATTTATTAAATCAGTGCATCCTAAATGGACGGCTTCCATGATCAGATCGGCGCTCATGACAACTGGTAAAGTTGACATTGTTAAGCTCTAATAACATATAAGATCAGTGAATTTATAAATATGTTGCTTCTTAATTTTACTAGCATTACTTTAGAGAAATCTCATTTCCCTAGAAGTTGCATGCATGAATATCAGGTATTTACATTGGTTCCTTATTATTCTTTATTTTTTTTCCCATATGCAGCAACTGTGTATGATAACATGGGGAAACCATTAACGAATAGTTCAGGTTCCTTCGCCATGCCACATGAAACGGGGGTTGGAGAAATAAGCCCACTTAAAGCCCTTAATCCGGGATTGGTCTTTGAAACCACGAGTGAAGATTATCTTAAATTTCTTTGTTTTAGTGGCTCCTCAGAGAAAACAATCCGATCCATGGCCAAGACAAACTTCAAATGTCCAAGAAATTCGTCTGACAATCTTATTTCCAGTATCAACTATCCATCAATCTCTATAAGTAGACTAGACAAAACTAGGGGTTTCCGAACTATTACAAGAAGTGTAACAAACGTTGGACTCCCAAATGTCACATATACTGCGACTGTGCAGGCTCCTTTGGGATTGAAAGTGAAAGTTTTGCCTAAAAAGATTACTTTCGTTGAGAATGTAAGAAGGGTTCCTTTCAGAGTGTCATTCGATGGCAGGGGAGCTTCTACTGGCTATAATTTTGGGTCTCTAACATGGTCTGGTGGTCCATATTCTGTGCGTGTGGTGTTTGCAGTAAATGTCAAGTGATAGAAGGCTTTTGTAAGAAATAGGAAACTAGTTATGCTATTCAAAAGGGAGATTGTTTTGTGAAAAACATTCATTGAATACTTATTGTTGTTTTATAGTAATGTTATTTTTTATTAATTAATCAATGACTCCTGGTACAATAAAACAAGAATATGGTGTCATCCATTTTTTATCCGGTTTACAGAACTTGATATTATGGACCCATACTTCCACCTTAAAAAATATATTGAAAGAAGATTTTTGTTCATAAACCCAGGACTCATCTCATTTTTTTTTATATGAGATTTATGATATTCTCTCTCACTCAATTGTGCACTGATGCTTGCAACCATAGAGGAGAGAAACTACCTGATCTGAGTCTACCTTGACCTTGGTATTATTCATGGGAGTCTCACATTATTAAAGAGTTGAGTAGACTCTAATGCCAATCTAATTTGAGTCTTGAACATTGGACGACAGTGAAACATATATTGAAATATCTGAATTGAACTAAGTATCATTATTTAGTGTTTCATGTAAGATATGTGTATAATTGATTTTAAATACAAGTGAGAGATTGTTAGCATATACTCTTAAAAGCCATTGTTATTACTTATTTATTAATAAATAAATTGTTGCATCAATTATTGATTTCATATATTATAATTTAATAGATATTTTGTTTCTTTATGATATAATAAATTATTTAGTAACATTGTAGAAAAATTATATTAATAATTGATGAACTATTGATTTACCAAAATTGTTCAACTCTAAATGTGAAAAACTTGTTATGCACCTATCAAAAAGGATAAAATATTTTGATAATTAAATTGGATTAGTAAAAGAGTTACGTAAAATGTTTAGGACAACTCAAAAATGTTTTAATTCATAATAAAATTTAATTCTAATCCTAATAAGATTAAAAATAGATAAATTATTAATTTTGATTAGTAATACTTACTATATATGAAAGAGATTTCCATATATTTATATATAGATGGCCACCCAAAAATTTGAAATTGGTAAAATTCGATTGTTGAAAATTGCTAATCTCAAATACCTCCTACGATGAACAGTATGAATGAGACATGCCTTTAAATTTTATTCATATTGATGAATATATGTGGATGATCATTGACTTAGGCCCAATATGATTATGCTATAGTTGAATGTGTATTTTTAGAATTTTTTAAATAGGGTTTACATGTCCTACCTTATCTTTGTATCTCGGTTTGTAAAATTTTTTCCTCATCTTACTTCCCTCGAATGTAACTTGAGGTTTCTACATTCCAATGTAATTAGAATTAAGATAGATTAGGAATTGCATTTTGGAAAAATTGACGATGGAGATCCGAGGCACCCAGGAGGACAAAGAGATTACAAGAAAATTTTAAAGATTCTTATTTGTAATCCCCTAGGTTTGACCAAGCTAGTTTCCCTTGATGGCTCAAGAAAATTATTATAGTTAAAAGTCCATAATCATCCGAAGTAGTTTGCATATGATAGATTTATTTATGCAATTTAATAAATGCTATACAATGCAAAGTAATATGCACGTGATAGATTTATTTTATTGGATTTAATAAATACTATGCATGTAAAGATGAGACCATAATAAAATCGAAAACAAAATCCTTCATTATATATTGAGTCACATGTCATGCATGACCAAGTTACCTTCCACCATATAGCTAGATAATCTGGCTACGCTTTTAATCAAAGGCTTGTTGAGCACACTCAAGGTCATACTTTAACACTAGTATGTTTGAGCTATTAGTGGGTCTTACTCAACTAGTTTCATAAAATCTAAATGCTTGGAAACTTGATTATTATGGAAACTAGAGGCAAACGCTAGGCGAAACATATATGATATGTTTAGGCAATGTGTTGTCATCTTGTTGATTTAGGAGTTGTGTAAAGATACTATTAGTAAGCTTAGTTACCTACCTAATCCACCTATCATGGTTTGTTGAGCACATTCAAAGACATGACTAGATGGATGGGATCTTAACCCACTAAGAGAATCCTAGTAGAGATATCTCGAGATGATATGGTGGGTTATCATCTTGTAGAAAATAGTGAAAAAATTATTTAAAATTTTAAAATCTTGTTTTAAATAGTTTATGCATGTTATTTATCAATTGTTTTATCTATTCAAACATGTTTGTATACATTGCAAATGGCTAATCACTATGGTGCATCTTGGATGCAAATAAAACTCATTAGACCAAACCCTTTTGAAAGGTACCAAAACTTGAGAAATGTTCTCAAGCAAAAAGTTGTCTATCTATAGGAAGCCTTGCCACAAGCCCATGTTGAGGCAAATGGTAATAAAGCATGGGATGCTCATTAGACTCGTTAAACCACATATGTTTATGACTACAAAGCTTCAAAAGCAACATGAAACCATCTATGCAACATGATATGACTTTGCAATCAAAAGAATTGTTGTATAATCAAGGTCTTACATAAAGGTATGAGATAACATAAAAATTGTTACTGTGTGAGAAAATAGAAGATAGGTCTATTAAAAACAAGATTTAAGGTTGCCAGGCTTTATGTTAAAGTTAGAGCAATGTGTTTATTGGTTGAGCATTTGGTTTATTGGTTGATGCATTATCCCCCTATCTATAAAGTAGGGTTCAAATCCTCTTTCCTATAATTATAAAAAAATTAAAAAAATTAAAACAATTAATTAAGTATAAGGTCAATATTATAATTAGTTATAGTATTAAAGCCTTAATTGCAAACAAATAAAGTAAATCAAATTTAATTTTAATTTAAAATGACTTAATTAAAAAGGTTTAATGAAGTGTTGGGTCAATATTATAATGGGTCATAATATTGAGGCCTTATTAGCAATTTAAGAAGTAAATTAATCTAGATATAAATATCACTTTTCAGCTACTCCTCATAATACAAGTGAAAACACACAAATTAGGTTTTTGAGTCGTCAGAAAATTAACAAGAAAGCCTAATCGCACACTTTCTTGAGTGACTTGAAAAATTATTTTTCAACTTTGTGATTCAACTAGGAGGAATGTGATTGTGTGGAGAGGACAAGTTGTTGTCCACCTTGTTAACATAAAGGCATAGTTGAGAAAGCTCCCTCCTTGTGGAAGTTCAAGTGCAACCGTTGGACGCTAAGCATATGAATGGCTTAGGTTCTTTGCTCCCTTTGAGGTGTTCATGGGCTGGACAAGGAAGATGTATCATCATGATAGCCACATCACTTGGTAATGGTAATATTATTTTTCTAATTACTTCTTTCCTAATTTTGTTTGTATTAAAACCACCAAGGTAATCCATGGGTAGTTGCATGGAATTATACGTTTAAATTTTTATTTTCCGTTGTGTATGATAATTGTTATATTTAAGTTTTATGCCATTCCAACAAGATATTGTACGCATTGAGTTTTCATATGTTATTGTGTTAAGGGTTGTATGGCACAAACCTGCTTAATAACCAATGTATGGCTTAAATTATTAGGATTAAAATATTTTATTTGACATATATGCTAAGGAGAAATATTGTGAATATTGGAATTACATTATGAATGGTTACATGATGGTTATGTAAACCAACGAATTTTTTATTGTGCATGTTTTGAGTTATATTCTAAGGCTTACTCGAGACTCACAACTTCTCCTGCCAGACTAGTGCCTCGGTCATGGCTCTTCAATTTAGGTAGTGACATTTTCTGCTAATACTAAATATAATGGCACAAGTGCATTAAAGAATCACATGAATTCTTACAAAAAAGTTTCTTGTTGCTATTGATTCTACTTAATCGGTTATGGGTTAGTAAGAACATGGAAATTTAGTTAAGAAGCCATTAGAAAGGGTCTTGCTGAGATGATCATTAAAGATGAGTTGCCTTCTAGATTTGTAGAAGGAGAAGGATTTAAGCAATTCATGTCAACTTCATGTCCTAGATTTCTTATGCCATCACGATGGATTGTTGCTAAAGATTGCTATAACATGTTTGTTGATCGAAAGAACCATTTCAAGCATATATTGAGAATATCTTTTTATAGAGTTTCTCTAACCACAGACACATGGACATCAATTCAAAGAGTGAATTATATGTGTCTTACGGCTTACTTTATAGTGATCAAAATTTACACAAAAGAATTTTAAACTTTTGTCTTGTTTAAAGTCACAAAGTTGTGGCCATAGGGAAAGTGATTGATAAATATTTGTGTGATTAGGGATTAGTAAGCTTTTCACTATTACTATTGATAATGATAGTTCCAATGATCTTGCAATAGCTCATATAATGAAAAAATTGAACTGATTAGGAAATAATTTTTTGGAATGAAATTTTTACGTATGAGATGCATTGCACATAACATTAATATAATTGTCACTGATAAATTGAAAGAAATGAATGATTCCATTGCTCATGTTAGAGAGGTAGTTAGATTTGTGAGACAATCACCTACTAGGTTAACAAAGTTCAAAAAATGTGTTGAGTCTGCAAATATTCAATCAAAGAATTTGTTGTGTTTAGATGTTAGTGCTGGATGGAATTCTACTTACTTGATGTTGGAAACAACTCAAAACTTTGAAACAGTCTTTAATTCATTTGAGGAAGCCGATCCTTGTTACAAGACTAATTTGTTAATGGAAGATGGGATACTTAAACATGAGGATTGGGAAAATGTTAGGAAGTTGAATATTTTCTTGAAACATTTTTATACACTCACAGTAAAAGTTTCTAATACTTCTTATGCCACTATTAATAGTTTTCTTAATGATGTTTGTGGTGTTTGTTGTATTTTGAGAGATAGCTAAAGACATCCTGATGTTGAGTTGCAAACAATAGCCAAAAGAATGAAAGAGAAGTTTGATAAGTATTAGGGAAATATAGAAAAAATGAATAAATTGCTTTATGTTGCCTTTATTCTTGATCCAAGGAAAAAACTTGTGTTTTTGGAGTTTTGTTTGAAAAAAATGTATTCGAATAAGCAAGCTTTAACAATTTGTACGAGTTTCAAATAAACAATGAAAGAGTTGCTTGCTAAATACCAAAAAAAAATTGTACAACCTCCTTCTTCTAAGAAATTGGTGACAGTAGCCAATCTTAAATGAGCCAAATTGTAGAAGTTACTAATGATATTGAATCCGATGCTAAT